AAAAATGCTTAGCGTGACTATAATATCCTCAACATCTAAAATCTAAGAATTTTCATTCCAAACATAAGTACTGTAAAGTATGTTTAGGCGGGTTACTGTACCTGCCAGTCACTTTAAGGATTTTATTTTTTTAAAGAATTTAATGAAAAGCAGAAAAAACTGAACACTGACAGTATAATGGCAGGGTGTTATTAAATGTTAAGGATTAAAACAATGAATAGTTGAGCCATAGTTTCCACGTTTAATTTTTATTTATTGAAATGGTTCATGTAAAGTTGTTGTTGACTATTGCAAAGAAATCTGTCTTTAAAAATAGGTTTTTGCCAGAGGTTTCTTCCTGTTAAAAGGGAGTTTTTTTCTTCCCACTGTCGCCAGAGTGCTTGCTCATAGGGGGTCAAATGATTGTTAGGTTCTCTTTGTAAGTATTATTGTAGGGCCTACCTTACAATATAAAGTCCCTTGAGGTGGTTGTGATTTGGCGCTATGTAAATAAAATTGAATTGAACTGAATTGAATAGGTCACAAAATAACTGATAATCTGGTGGATGATAAAGAGCGCTTCCTATTTACCTTTCATGTCTGCACAGATTTGAATGTTTTTCTAAGAAAAAACCCACATACATTAAGAGGGAAGGTAACAGTAAGTTTGATTTTATTTTTTTTTGTTGTTGTTCTTTAAATAGAAAAAAAGAAAAATCCACTGAGCTGATTTTCCCCACAGTTTTGAGCCATATCTCATGCATCATTGTGTCAAACAACTTGTGCGGTCTCCCCAAAGATGATCCCCGTGGTATGATCTTGATTGACAAGGCATTCCATTTGCATACACAAATTAATCAGTACCATATGCATAGAGATTAATGATTTATGTCACAGGGCAAAGCTCTGGTGTTACAATAAAGAGGCAGCCAGGATTCTTCTGTGTTGTTTAGAAAAATGTTCGCTAGCCAGCTGGCTATGAGCCACGAGTGTGATGGACAATCCTATGCCATTCCAGAAATATGTCAGGCTGGATTGAAACAATCTACTGTGGTATAATACAACCTGGCATGAAAACCACATTTCTGCTACCACTGCAGCCCTGAAGAGTTATATGTGTTGTCACATCAAAAAGGAGTTTTTGACAGATCAAGAGACAAAGAAGTGTTACTACTAAGCAGCTTTATTTGTTTATTTATTTACTGTGTGCTGCTTAGTAACATGTTTGTTTTCATCTCAGAAGGATGGATCATTCTTTAGCTAAACCCGGAGTAGCTTTGCTGACAGCGCTTTAATTCAATGATGATGTAAATCTTTTGGAAGACGAACGGGTACATGTCATAGGAGCTGAGATAAGAGCAGTGAAAATGAATAAGAACTTCATGTAAATCATGAAGGATGGAGATAAAACAATATTTATTGCAAAATACAATACATCAGTTTCTGAAGAACATGTGATCTTTCTATTAAGGTGACTGCTGTCAAAATTACAGCTACAGACATTTTTCTATTTTACTATGTACAAGTAAAATATATTTCAAACTATATGAAGGTCTGCAACATGTTCATTAGTACATTCAAAAGGTAGTACACTGACACATACGAGGATTAGTATCTTCCAACTTCCAGTTCCTGGTTTATTGATTAAAGTCTTTTCTCTCTGCATGTCTGGCCTGTACACATATATGGTCTTGTCAGTATCTATTTTACATTCAAGCAGCATGCTCATACGTCAGTAAAACAATAGATAAGGAGAGAAAATTCATCATTACACTGTCCTGGATTCCAGTTCAGTAATGTATTGATGAACTTTGGCAGTGTAATATGAGATCCTTGGATCATTAAATAAGCAGAATGCTATCATGGAAACTGAGTCTTCCTTGTCAGCAGATGTTTAGGAAGTGCTACAGTATCCAAAATTATGATGGAGGCATCGAGCCAGAAATCTGTTAAGAAGGAGAGTTCCTTTCAAATATGTTTGGACCACTTTCCTGAATAAGGATTGTGTAAGAGGGGAAATCCTGAAGGACAAAAAGCTCTTTCCAAACTGAAATGTCTAACATAACTAAACGGTTACAGTGAATCAAGATTTTTAATTTTTAATTTTTTTAGCTATTCTGTTTTAGTTGATTCCAGCAAGATTAACAGCAACATTAATTTTTTTTTAGGTTTTCAATGCATGTGTTCTCAAAGTAAAAATCTCGTAGATATCCAACCAGGTGTTCATCCCAGCTGCACTACCACACTGCAGACATTCATTCTTTCTCATTTTCAGGGCATCAAGCAGCAATAACAAATGTAGTCAGACAGCATTATTAAACTTATAATTGGATTTAAACTGAATTATATTCAGGTTTTGCTGTGGAGTGAACTCAGCTAAGCGATTATATTGGACAGCAGTGTATTTGTTTTTGTGTAATTTATGCACAACTGAAGCCAAACTGAAGTCATGCACTTCAATACTTTTTGCAAAACCTCCAACAGACTGTACCTTTGACAAGAAGGTTACTTACTTGAAATGACCTAAAATACAATGCAGCTTGTAACAGTTTTGATTTGTGAGGTTAACCATGTAAAATTAAGCTTATTAATTCAAAATAGCTGCACTATTCAGTGTATTAACACATGAATAATATGAATATACTGTATGTACAATATTACTGATGATCAGTTTACCACTTAAGCATATTTATTTCTACTACAGCACGCTTTAGAAGAAGCAGCATTGTGTCCCTGAACACCTGAACATGATAAGCACATCTGATTCGTTTTAACCTGGAAATATCTTGAATCATCAGATAAAATATGCTTCCCCTGGTGGAATAAAAATAAACAAATTCCACACCCCTTGCAGTATCTTTAGGAATTTCAAGGGGCAAACATTGCCTGTAGCTCTGAGGGGCACCACCAGGGGGCTCTGGTCTCAAAGCCAAGTACAGCCAGGGGCAATTATTGAAACTTTTCACTTATCAACATGAGACCTTAATGTCCATAAAACACCAGAATGTCTCTGATATAAAAGTTTGACTGCGTGCTGAAGGTCAGTATGCCTTTTAGAGGATGAATATGATGATATAACAGCTGATCAGGTACAGAGATAGATATATGTTTGTTATGTATGGGTGAGTAAATAAAATGATTTACTGGACTACACAGATAAAGTTCATGATGCTGCAACAACTGGTTTTACAGTATAAATTAAGTAATTTAACATTTTCATTCACTTGTGTTTCTCTTCACCACAAAGGTGTTTTTAAAAAAAAACAAAAAAAAAAAAACAAAACAACCTATGACAGATGTGTTTTCTAATGGTGACTGATGTTTGAGGGCATTTGTTTGCTTGACAGAATGGATCTCATAACAGCAAGCAAGTCTAAGGGGATTTAGGCAGTATACGATGAGTGTGAATTCTCCATTGTATACATTTCCACTTGCACTCTGCTCAGTGGACACAGAGCTCTCCTAGCTGGCTTGTCTCTGCATGTTTGGCGTGACCCAAATAGCCTAACTTGTTTCTAATTTCCTCTGTTTATTATATTTCTTTGTATCAAAGACTTTGCGTTTCACAAGACCACCATGGAAGTGGCAATCAAATGTGGACAACAAGACAAAATACCCAGCTTTTACAGACAAAACCTCATGGGGTGAATGAGTGTGTGTGTTTTTGTGAAAGAGAGAGGGATTCCACGATGTGAAGTGCTGACATCTGCTGCAGGCGCTCGCAGGGCTGGAATGTGATACCCTCCTTTACACAAAGGGCCTTGGCCCTTCCAACAGGCACATGAAGACCTCTATATGCCCCTCTCCACAGGGGCAACACAAGTATGAAATGACTGCATCAATGTCCCACGCCTTCTTTCCTGAGCCATTAACTTGGATTAAAACCACAAAAGCTTCCCTTCTTACCTTGATGCTGGAGAGATGGTTGCTCTATATTCTCTTTAAGTTGGTAGTTTCTAAGCTATGTGAGGCTGGGGGTAAATTGCTGCAGCATTGCATCATGCATCTGGCTCAATGGGTTCAATATGTCTCCAGCTCCCCTTTGATTGTTGTGTCTGTGCTGCAGCAGACTTACCATACAGCGGGGGATACACTGTTGCATTTTGCCAACAATAGGATGGGAGGAACCACATAAAACACAGTTGATGAGGTACAACATTGTGCTGGGGAGAAAGGAAATTGGGAACAGGAGGGAGTATTGTTTCAAGCGGTGTCTCTGCTTTGATATGACAAATTGAGAACCTTAAACATTTCCTTCCACAGAAACATTCCAGGGGAGCACAAAACTGCATGTTAAAAAGTTTTCTTTTGGGGCGCATTTATCTTTCATTCAGTGAATCAAGGTTTTAAACAATTACTCAGTGGTTAAACAATGTTACTTAGGAATGTTATATGGAAGGTTTTAGTCTGAATCATGGGACTCCTGATGTGAATATATACTGTGAACTGCACTGTATATATTATACACTGGATGGATCATGATTTAATGGGATAAAAATGCAATCGGGCCATGGTGTTGTAGTCCTGTAAAATAAGCAGAGAAACAGATAAAGGACTAGTAAGACAGTGGGTACAACTGGTGTACACACAGCAGAAAGTGAAATGTGTCCCTTAAAAAAAATCCAGAAATAGCTTAAAATGTCTCCTTCACATTTTTGTATCTCTACTCTTATATTTTTATATTTACAATATAGGCTAATCGTTTGATCTGGTGTTATAGTGTTTTAAGTTATTCTGTAGTTTTAAAGATATATTTCCAAAAGTATTACCGCTTATGTAAACCTTATCCTTAACAACAGACTGTGTGATCTCGGGAGGCTGAAACTTTTGGCTAGAAAGTATTTGAAAAGTGCGCAACCATCAAACAAACAAAACAAAACATAAAACGGACCCGTAAGGGAGTGAAACACCTCGTTAAACCAGGCAGCAACTGAATAGTTAACATCCTGGGAGTTTCCTCCGCTGAGAAGTTGTACTTTATGTATAGCACCTGTTGTGCGTCAGTTGCCAGTCTCCAAAAAGCCAACCCCGGGCGCGCAGCGATATTTTATCTCAGGCTCCAAGTTATGACTCTAGACCGCGCCAGAAAACAGAAAACGTCTCGGTGTTGCGAATGGTTTCAAAGTACAGGCTGTATCAAGTTGCTTCACTCTCTCGCTGTCTCTGTGTGTGAGCCTTTGCTGTAATGCGTAAAGATCTGCAGGGATTTATCAGACGGAGTGAAGAACGCACCGTGGACGCGCGCTTTCCCCAAAATGCGACTGTGTCTTTCTAATGTTCTCGTCGCGTAGATTATATGCGTGCATAAGGGTGTTTTTTATAACTAATACCGGGATTATAGCAACATAAAACTAAACTTTGCTCAACTTCCCATTGAACCAACAGGTGCGCATTTGCTCTGCGCAGCAGCGGCAGGTTCGGAACCTCCGCAGAGGAGTCGTTCTAACTTCTCAAGTTAAAATTTTGTTCCCGAACTTTCCTCCGAAGGACTGATGCTTAAAATTAAGTGGATTTTACTCTGCGCTTATCCTCTCCAAATGTGTCCGAAACAGCACTGGTGCCCTGTAAACGACGCATGTGTGTGGTGATACAAACCGTCCCGTCTACAGAGCTTTGTGATCGCCGGCTACCACTCATCCAAATGATCCTTCCATTAATATTCCTTCTTGCATCGCTTCTCCAACAATATGGCTCGGAAGCTGAATCAAGTCATGTCAGCAAATTTCCCCTACCAAGCGTAAAGGAGCAAAACGGTGAGTTTCGATGCATTCTAGTTCATTCTTAAAAGTTCAAACTTTTGAATGATTGCTCACACAACCTAGATGCTCATTCTTACTGGGCTTAAAGACATTCCTTTCAAAAAGTACATCTTTTGAATGAATAGAAGCATTTTATTTAGTTCAACCAGTATTATCCAGGATAGGAAGTGCAGTATTACCCTTTACCTTTAAAGCGTACCCCGTATGCTTAAAAGGAGAAACCCTTCTGAAATTCCTTGCCCCTCGGGAGAAGTTTTTCTTGTGATCATAAAAAAGGGCTCCATTCATTCAGGAGCAGTCACTCAGGGCGATGTAATTTGGGGCTCATGTGAAATGACTCCAATGAACTTCACTAATTCTGAAATCCTTCCCCCCATTTTTCCCTGTTTAATTTTATTTCCATGCTAATGACAAGAGTATAACTGTGTTTAGCTAAGTAAGTAAATAATTAGCCTCCAGTGATTGTTTTGCCATCATGGGGAATTTGACAGTCTTTGTTGTTCTTTGTTGTTGTAAGCATCTTTCAAATCTTAATTTAATACTTAAGATTGTGTATTATGATTATTAGTTTTGGCTTATTTTAAGTTTTATATCTTGATCCCTTATATTCCCAGTGCTGACATTATCTCTTCATAACAAACTTTATATGTCCTGCATATGAATGACGAAGGTTTATAAGAATTACAAAAGAAGCCAAGACATGCTGGTACAAGAAATGTAAGTCCAAAAAGCTTGCCATAGAATAGTTTATGTGTGACCGATCCTGTGCATGTGAGCCTTTTAGTCAGGAGTCCTAAAATGTGATGTTTGATTATTATTTTGCTTATGTGAAGCACATAACAAGTCGTGACATAGAAGCAGACTATGTATCACATAGCTTAAAGTACCTACATCTTGTAGATATGGTTAATCTTCATACATTTCTTGATCTTCAGTAACCAGTAGGTTTGACTCGACTTGTGTGAGGGCATGCAGCTCTGACTTCACTACAGTAACAGTCAGGGTTGGGAAATCAGAGCCTCCTGGTGGGATATCCAGGTTTAATCAGGACGGCTGAGAAAGGAAAACAACAGAGAGGAGGGAGGGAGGGCAGGGAGAGTGATGAAGGAGGTGGAGGGGAAGTGTGGTGGGGGAGATGTTAAACTGTCAAGGAACTCTTTAAAAAGGCGGTCACACTTTGGCTGAGGGCAAAGCTGGCCAGACCGTCTGTAACCTTTGACTGGAGTGTCTGAGTGCTCTATTCTGCTGTGCTTGATTGCAGATGCTCTGTGAGACAATTTGATATCGATCTGACGGAGGGGAGAAAGCCAGACCTGTCTGGCATGTTTAGTAGTAGTTGCCTGGAGAGTTACGGTCCCCAGTCGTATTAAACTTGGCAAGCGGCTGCTGATGACTCCATAAGATATCAGAGGGCACCATCTCCCATTGAGAGCCAGAGCTGTGCAGAGTAACCATCTGTCACAATGAATGATTTGGACAAAAACTCTCAAAATGAACTCTAAAATCAAAATTCTGTGTTTTGGGGTAATAAATAACGTCAACATTTCTTTGCTCCACTGGTGAGAATAATGTTACAGTGTTGTGTATGTCATTTTTATGTGTTTGCCAAATGACTATAGGGTTTCATGGTTATTAAGAGGAAACACTGCTAAAAATGACTTCTCCAGGCACTACAAAGAAGCTGTGTAGTGTAAGGTTTTGAAAATGAAATAGCGCTGAAGGAAAGTACATGTATCAATCTAGCTCAAGCGCTACCCCAGCCTTTGGTCTTCAACATATTGTTTTATTAAAGGTAAAACAACATTGCTGTTTCTGAAAAAGTTAGAAACAACAATGTTGTCCTGTTTTTGCCAGAAAGGCATGCCATCATTTAAGCCTACCTCTCTGGAATGAAGCAAATAACATCAGAGGATCGGATCCAGCGAGTATTACTTTCATTCTCAAGCATTTGCAAGAGGAAATCAAAAGTTTATATCATCATAAAACACATTTTATATGAGACAGGATTTTGATTTGTGATGAAACAACATGATTCACAGTCTGTATACTATGATGTAGCACTGATTGACTTATTATTTAATAGCCTATAAGCTTGTTTCATTATGCAGTGATGGCCTGATACCAGTTGTCAACACTGCAAACCCAGCTAAAGCTCCATCTCAGCTTCCCGATCACACAGGTCATCTCAGGGGCACCTCTTATATCACTTCTCCGAGATAAGTGGTTTGCCTTCTCTTTCCCGTAGAAGGCCATGTTTTTTTTTTGCCAAGGCCACCCATAAGCAGAGAGCCAGATATTTTCAGAAAAATCCAGCAACAGATATTTGTAGGAGATGCGGATTACCTGTGATATTCCCACATAACCCCCCGAGCACCACTGGAGGAAGGTATGCACCACACTAGACCTGCCAATGATCACAGAGGCTGCTGTTCCGCTAAAGATTAAGAGATTAGAGGGAGGACTGGGGTCATAAGGATCAACGGCCTATGGGGAACATATGCAGTGTACCACTTATACATAGATGGAGGACAGAGGAGCATTATACATTCAGTGGATTATGATTATGATATAGACAAACAAGACATTTGCACTGGGAACATACTGGGTGGCCTCGTATGAATCGTGACTTTTTCAGGTGTAACATAGAATACAATATTTGTTTATTCTCCGATAGCTGAGAATAGCATATTTGTAGAGTAGCAAAGGAGGAGGAGTCCTTTTGGTTGCCGGCAAAATCCTATTCATTTAAGTGATTGACAGCTAAAGTACTTCTAAGGCTTGCCTAGCCACAGTATTTAAAAGATTACCAACTGCCTTGAGAAATACTTGGTAATTTAATAAAGAGTGAAAGATCTTAGCCTGTGTACAAAATCACTTACGGCAAGAAGTAAATTGCAACTCCTAAGAAGCATTTTTGTAAGAAATATTTCATCATAGAGCTGAAATGTTTATACTGAAACTAAATTAAGTTTAGTTTATCTGGCTGAGTGAAAGCACTTTTTGACTTTGGGTCAACTTTTATTCAAGGATTAATGCATCTAAAAACTTTAATTGTACTCGGTGGAGCAGGTGTTCATGACAGAGCTTTAAATTTGTATCTTTCTCTGTCTAAAGTTGAAATCATTTTAAACAGCTGACACAATGAAAATATAGTAAAAACATAAAAACCTAATATAAAATCACTGTCCCACTCTTTATGGTGAAACAAGCATTTCATACAAATTATGATACTATTATGTCATCTCATATCATATTGTACAGTATGCGTATTGTGTAATTGTTAAAGTTAAGAAGAAGTATAATGTCTTTGTTTTTGTTTTTTTTGTTCTCAGCCCACTGTTACAAAATCTGCCCTGACAAGACCAAACATAGTCATTTGTAATGGGTCAAGCCTCTTCTACTAAATGTGACCAGCTGGCATTCATGTATCCACCATGTTATTTTAAGTGGTTTCCATAGTGCTTAGCTCTGGGTTCAAATATGAAATTACAACTATGACTCTGAAACCAGTCAAACAAAATGTGCCTGCCTTGGAATTTCAACTCATTCTTTTATACAGGTTAGATGTTTCCTGACCCTGGGAAAGCTTGTTTCCACTTAGGGGGATCCGTGCTCTGATGGATATGCTTGAATGAATGAATGCAGCACTATGCAGTTAATCATTGTATTGGGCAGTGGAATAGCAGCTGGTATGCTTGTCTGAATTAAAACCATCAAAGAAAATGGATGGCTTGAATGTTCAATAAACTCAGTGGGAAGCATAGAGGGCAGACGTTACACCAAGGAGATCACTATAGTGAGATGAAAAACACAATTGTAAGGAGGTTTATCAGGGTTTTTATTTGCTGAGTGAACGTGATGGATTTTTTTCATTTATACAAACGAGTTTGGCTTCTTTTCCCTGTCCAATATGGAAGTCACTAAATACACCAGCTTCTGAATAACCATTTAGTGTTAGTAAGAGAAAGAAAAATGCACTTATGTGAATTTTCCACAACAGTAGCAGTAGAAACCACTGGATACAAGCAGGTCTATGTCTTCTGGCAAGAGGAAATTTTCCCCTCAACATCTCACTCCAGAGTGGGGGACCCTGGATAAAAGTGTCTATGTTTTTCCTGTCAGCACTATTTGAACATGGAGTGCTGTATTTGGCAAGCAAAGCATGCCACCGCCTGCCTGCTGTTTGTCATTTCAGGCAGCCAGTGCACCGTCTCTCCCACCACCTCAAGAGGCTTTCTGGGGGCTCTGGGTCATAGGTTTAAGCTCTAGTGAGGAAAAATAGTATCTATAGAAACCTATTCTGTCTTTTCTTGGCTCGGTGTTTGTGAATTTTTCTTCACTGCACACAATGCTTTGGCTGCCAGTGGTATAATGAAGACCATTTTGTTATACAAACAAAATGCATGAGGGGGGAGGGGACTAATACCTTAAAGCTACTTTCCACTGCTCCTTATTCATAAGGGGTCACCACAGTGGGTAGTTCCACAAATTTGATTTGGGAGGTTTTTGCACCAGATGCCTTCCTGATGTAACCGTCAAGGGATGTGCATCCCCTCTTTGGAGAACAAGGGGACTGAAACCTCGTTCTCCAAAAAAAACTAATCACTTTCATTGCCTCTTTGCAGCAGCACATCAAGAAACTGTAAAATAGTGAACCACATAATGTTTTTGTGTCAGTTTTACACACATAATTTGACTTTATTTGAAGATTTGCTTCTCCCAACCTGTTAATTGTCATTTTCCTTTTAGCTTAGCTTTGGCTTCCACCAGTCACTGCAACCTGTTCTCCACCCCAAAGGCTTCAAATTGCATTGCACTGGCTAGTCTTTTTCATGCATTTTTCATCATGCATCGTGGTGCTATAAAGTTCAATCGTCCCTCAGCATATTAAATGGATTCATTTCCATTACATGGATTGCAAGAAAACTCTCTGCTTGTGCTGCAAGGAAATGATGGACAAACCTGTTGGATATGGCGGAACGTTGTTTTGGTGG